TGTCTGGGGTCTTAAAGGCTTGAAGGTAAACAAGCGGCCATCTAGCTCAGAAACAACAAAGCCCACATGGAAGAAGCACACCAGCCTGTGTCACTATGAGGTGTCGATGGGATCAGGTATCAGGCATCAAAGACCCAGAACAAAAAAATCATATAATTGTGAATGGGGGTGTGTGTGGGGGGAAGGGGTGGAGTCCCAAAGCCCATCTGTAGACAACTGGACATCCCCTCACAGAAAGGTCACAAGGAAGAGATGAGCTAGTCAGGTTGCAGTATAGCACTGATGAAACACACAATTTTCCTCTAGTTCTTTAATGCTTCCTGCCCCCCACTGTCATGACCTCAATTCTACCTTACAAATCGATTAGACCAGAACATGCGCACTGCTACAGAAAAGAGCCCGCGACACAGGGAATCCAGGATAGAGAAACCCTTGACACAGGGAATCCAGGATAGAGAAACCCTTCAGGGCCAACAATGAGAGTAGACATACCAGGAGGATTAGGGGAGCGTGGGGGGAAAGGGGAATCGATCACAAGGATCAACATTTAACCCCCTCTCAGGGGGACGAGCAATGGAAAAGTGGGTGAGGGGCAATGGAGGATGATGTAAGATAGGAAAATAATAATCTGTAACTTATCAAGGGTTCATGAGGGAGGATGGGTAGGTGGGGGAGGGATGGAGGGAGGGGGACAAATGAGCTGATAGCAAGGGCTCAAGTAGAAAGTGTTTTGAAAATGATGATGGCAGCATATGTGCAAATGTGCTTGACACAATGGATGAATGTATGGATTATGATGAGAAGTAAGAGCTCCCAATAAAAGTATTTAATTAAAAAAATAAATGTACAACAACAAAAAAAAGTCGGGCTGTTAAACACAAGGTTGGTGGTTCAAATTCAAACCCACAGCCATTCCCTGGGTCAAAGGTAAGACTCTGTTCCCATGAAAATTTAGTTTCAGAAACCCTATGGAAAAGAAAGAAAGAATCCCTATGGAGCAGTTCTTCTCTGTCCTGTAGGGTCTCTGTGAATTGGAATTGACTCCATGACAGTGTTTTGTTGTTGTTGGGTATAAGACAATTAGTTGAAAAAATAGTCGTGAGTGGGATAAATTTGCCACCTTGATTATGTTGAATATATGGGGACTATGCTGTCTTTTTAAAAAAAATTTTAATCCTTTTATAGGGGGCTCTTCCAGCTCTTAAAACAATCCATACATCTATTGTGTCAAGTACATTTGTACATATGTTGCCATCATCCTTTTCAGAACATAATCTACTTGAGCCCTCGGTATCAGCTCCTCATTTTTTTCCTTCCTCCCCCATCCTCCCTCCCTCATGAATCTTTGATAATTTATAAATTATTATTACTTTCATATCTTACACCGACTGCTGTCTCTGTTCACCCATGGTTCCGTTGTTCGTCTCCCTGGGGGTTAGGGGGTTAGACGTCAATCACTATGATTGGTTGGTTCCCTCTTTCTCCTCCCAACTTTCCCCTACCCTCGTGGTATCGCGACTCTCATTATTGGTCCTGAGGGGTTTATCTGTCCTGATTCCCTGTGTCGCAAGCTCTTATTTGTGCCAGTGTACATGCTCTGGTCATGACGGATTTGTAAGATAGAATTGGGGTCATGATAATGGGGGTGGGGGTGGCTAGCGGAATGTTTCGTCAGTGCTACACTGCACTGTTTCGTCAGTGCTACACTGCACCCTGGCTGCCTTGTCCCTTCCTTATGACCCTTCTGTATGTCCAATTGGGAGACCATGTTTTCAAAGAGGTCTTTTCTATATTGCCTTTAGATGATTATGTTGAACAACTATTCGTGCTTGAGGATAGAAGAGTATCAATGAACCCTCTGCTTGAAATGAAGGTGTTTAATTGTGCTGTCAAAAAATCTTTGTATATATAAAAACCTTTGTATAAATGGATTCATGTAACATGATGATGACTGAATGTTGCTTCTTTGTTTTTTGTTTTGCAGTTCCAGCTCCTAGCAGATTTAATAGGCGAGTATCAGGTATGTGTTCTCTTCCACTACATACTCTTAAAATGCTATTTTAAAATAAGTAGCAGCATTGCAGAACAGTATGCTAAAAGTAAAATTATCTATGGTTCCCTCATTCAATTTTCATGTTCTGAGTATGTATGTACAATTTTTTTTAATATTGCTATAATTAGCGTGGTTTGTCTCTTTGCATCAATGTCATTAATATATTTTCATCTTAATAGTATGGCTTCTCAAAACTTCTTTCTGTGTCTTAGCACTATTTCTCTGATATACTGGGCATTTTACTGCCTACCTTTCCCTTCTTCTTTCCTGTATGTTTTAGAATATGTAGCCATTACGTCTTTTCACGAACCTTTTGAGCCACTTGAATCATTTCCTCAGTTACAGTGCTATGAATGTAATTATCTGCTCTGAGACCTGGGCCTTTTGTGTGTTGCTTTCCAGAGACAGTCTACAGACTAGGTCTCAGGGAGAAAGGCAGCCTGCATCGGCCTCTTTTCTACTTCCACCTCACCAACATGGAAGGCAACCACGCCTTTCATTGAGGAGATGTAATAGAAATACTAATTTAGGGGAACGGATCACAATGATCTACATATAGGCCCCTCCCAGGAGGACAGACAACAGAAAAGTGGGTGAAGGGAAACATAGGTCAATATAAGTCATGAAAAAAAATTAATAAATTATCAAGGATTCATGAGGGAGAGTGGGGGAGGGAGGGAAAAAAATGAGGAGCTGATATCAAGGGCTCAAGTAGAAAGAAAATGATTTGAAAATAATGTATGGATTGTGATAAGAGCTGTAGGAGCACCCAATAAAATGATTTTAAAAAACCCAGTAATTTAGATCATTTTACTTGACATTCTTCTGATTATTAACCTAAAAGAATGTTATCCAAATATGGGACATTTATTTTTACTTTCTCCATTGGGATTAATTTGATAATATTTTGCTCATTTGTATAATTATAATGTGCATTTAAAAATAAATTTGAATAAACTTTCTATCTTGATTTTTTTTTTACCTTTTGAATTTTTTAGCGAGAGTTTTCCTAGTCATTTGCACTTATTTATCTATTCTTGTAGACATGAAAGGATTTCTCTCACAAGCACATTTTTAAAACTCCCATTTCTGAATGAAGTAAGCACCAAATTAGTTTGGAAGGAAAAAAAATGTGCAAGCTAATCTGTTTTGTTGCTGTCATATTACTGACAAGTTTCATATTACTGACTAGTGACATCTGCTGGAGAACTGAAACAAATAATTTCCCTCGGACAAGGGGCTGTGCTGCCCTGTGGCCTACATTCTCAGTAATTCTCAAATGTCCACACAGTATTCTTCTTGAGGCTGTGTAGGGGATCACACAGACCCTGGGCCTACCTCATGGAACTTGGGTACGGAGACAAGCTCCCAGACATGTAAAACCATGAGGTGTACCAATCAAGGAGTCACTGAGAAATAGATTGTTACAGAGATAATGAGCAAAGTAATTTGGGACCAGGGGAAAAAAGCAAGGGGGAAAAGGGTAAAGTAAGTCTAGAGGTGAAAACAAAATAAAATTCAAAGCCAGTTTTGAAAAATAAGTTATAATGTTTTCCACAATAGAAAACGTACTAAGAGTTTAAATGAAAATAGCTCCTTTGGGGAGTTGATAGCATTGAATTTTTATAACCTCACCCAGTGGGATTGACAACAGAACTAGATGTGAATTGGTAGTGCAGAATGAGTAAGATAGATCAATAAAAAATATATTTTAAAAAATAGCTCCTTTTGTTTGTCATATCTTTAGTCTGTAATTAATATTTGCTAATTGAGCTAAGCTGTTAATGTTTTTACTCCAAAATCAGAGGAAAAGCAAGCCTGGAAATAGGCTAGCCCAAGACTGTTATAATTTACAAATAACACAAGCTTCTACATTTATTTGTCTAATCCCCCATCCGATCAGGTATTTTCATAAAGGTTGTTATGCCAATTTTTTTACATATCAATATAAAAATTCCTTAATTAGCATAGCACATTTACAAAAATACCTCTTGGGGTGAGGAAGCAGTTGGCACACAAACGGAGATGTGTTTTTTGTGTAAAAATACATGTATCATTATTAGTAAAATCCTATCACTCATCATTTAAGGCTATCGTTTTTTAAGGTTAACTTTTTTTAATGAAACTTTTTTATACATACACAGATATAAGAAAATGTAAAACCCCCCTCAAAAAAAAA